TGGCCTTATACAGACACAGACAGAGTCTTCCAGCACTCCATTAATCCTAATGAGAGGAGACTGCTTTGACCCTGAAGTACTTTGACAGCTCACCATCATTTATTAAATGTAATAATAACAAGTGCAATTTTTTAGCAAGGCATTTGTTTAACCCTTGGCTGAACTGTTGCTCTTTTTTAACTATGTGCTGGCATCATGCAGGGTTTCTGTCTCTTTTGGGTCATTCTGTGCTCTAGATGCCGCTTTAGAAACTGGGTTTGTGTGTGCTGCTGCATTAGTGCCCTCAAGTCTGATTAGAAAAAAACAGGACAGGGGGAAGTATCAATAAATATAGTTATCTGGCAAGCGGTAATATAATAGGGCTAAAATATTAAAATATATAATATATGTATGTGTGTAGCTATTGTAAATGCATCTTTATTGTTCACATCTAGGAAATTTTGTGCTTCCATTGAATAACATGAATTTTATTAGGAAATATAACAATGAATCTATCTATGTCAGCGGTTGATCAGAACCATGGACAGCACCTGTCTGCAAACCTGTGTGACATTACAACTATGCTTAAATATGTTAGAGACACCAAAGGTGACTTGAGCAAATTTAGTTGATTATGCTGAGATACTTTTTATTCTCCCCTCAAACAGGCTATTTCACTTTGTTTTAACTGACGTCAAAGATATGCTTGAATTAAGGTAATTAAGTGCACATTCTTTGTATTTGTTAGAAATGTTATATTTATGTCTCAGTATTGAAGGCAATATCATATGCATATTACATAATATTTAAAATTGAGTTGAAGATTTGTGTGCTAAAATGTCAAATATTTGTGTCAGATATTAATGATAAATATTAACAAATATAGTAAGATAAGAAAGTATAGTAAATAAGTAACCAGAGTCTGAGTAACCAGAATATTTTTTTTTATTGAATATATATATATATATATATATATATATATATATGTGTGTTTTTATTAATAGTTATATTGAAGGGAATATCTGTTGCCAATATGGTGTCCCATACTCGGAATTTGTGCTCTGCATTTAACCCATCCAAGTGCACACACACAGCAGTGAGTAGTGAACACACACCCAGAACAGTGGGCGGCACCCAGGAAGCAACTGTGGGTTCGGTGCCTTGCTCAAGGGTCTCACCTCAGTCGTGGAAGAGAGCGCTGTTCATTCTCTCCCCCCACCTAAAATCCCTGCTGGTACTGAGACTCAAACCCATGACCTTCGGGTTACAAGTTGACTCTCGAACCATTAGGCCATGATGAGTTAATGTTTTAATAATTTTGTTTAGTTGTGTGTTTTGTCAGTTTTATTTTTTAATTCATTTTTATTTCAGTTTTAGTTATTTTAGCAAAGTTTCATTTTAATTTAATAAGTAAGTTAAACTTAATGAACAGTGTTGCTTTGGTTACTTTCTAAAACAAAACAAGATGTTATATTTTATTTTATTTCAGTAAACATTTATTTTATTTCAAGTAACACAATATAAATGGTTTTCATTTTAGATATCCCTGTTGTGATGAGTAGCTTATAACCTTTTTATAAATAGGCTATCTGAAGTGTGTTGTTGACAAAAAGTTTTTTTTAAAACAACCCTCCTCCTGGGTCCCGTTTCAATGAGGAGGTTTAACCAACTCTGAGTTGAAACTCAAACTATGAGTTGACTTACCCTGAGATGGGAAACTCTGAGTTTTCGGTTTCAGAACAGCTAAATTGTGTTAGTTCAGTCGACTCTGAGTAGGTTGACTCTGAGTTTAGTGCGTGCACCACGACTATGAGAAATCATGATCAATGGAGCTCCGAAATTATGATTCACCATGGCAACATCACCGACAAAAAGACGTCCGCATACTTCCAAGTCAATAATTAACTTTAATTCTTAATCACTGTTATAATATCAGAGGTAAAAACTGTAAATTATTTAACTGAATTTAATTTTCATGGTATCCCACGGCAAAAAAAAAAAAAAATGTAACAGCCTCTAAAAGTGGTTAAGTTGTATTTACAACACTGTTCCAGAACACTTCAACCCAAATATTCAGATGTGTGCAGGAGGACTGTTATGGAGGACTGTTTCCTGATCCTGGTGGAGTAGACTACAATGCCGGCTGTTCTGACGCACAGACTGTGTTTGGCCAGGATGCCAAATTCGCCCATTGGCCTCTGACCATCATGGCCTCCTAACCATCCCTTATCTGCTGATTGGCTTCATCACTCTGTCTCCTCTTCACCAATAAAGCTGGTGTGTGGTGGGCGTTCTGGCGCAATATGGCTGCCGTCGCATCATCCAGGTGGATGCTGCACACTGGTGGTGGATGAGGAGATTTGTTTCGTTGTGAAAGTGAAACTACTTTGTTTGGTCTTCCAAAAGAGGACACGACTAGAAATCAGTGGTTAAGTTGTATTTACAACACTGTTCCAGAACACTTCAACCCAAATATTCAGATGTGTGCAGGAGGACTGTTATGGAGGACTGTTTCCTGATCCTGGTGGAGTAGACTACAATGCCGGCTGTTCTGACGCACAGACTGTGTTTGGCCAGGATGCCAAATTCGCCCATTGGCCTCTGACCATCATGGCCTCCTAACCATCCCTTATCTGCTGATTGGCTTCATCACTCTGTCTCCTCTCCACCAATAAGCTGGTGTGTGGTGGGCGTTCTGGCGCAATATGGCTGTCGTCACATCATCCAGGTGGATGCTGCACACTGGTGGTGGTTGAGGAGATTCCCCCCTTCTATGTAAAGCGCTTTGAGTGCCCAGAAAAGCTCTATATAAATGTAGGGAATTATTATTTTTATTTTTTTTTATCAAGTGAACATCATTTATCAGATTAGCCTCATTTAAACCGATTTCTACAACACTGACCTACAGTCCAGTGAAACTCCTCTTGGATTTGTGCCAGGAAAAAAATTCTCAGAAAGACCGTGAAAGTGACGTAGGCCTACACTCTCCTTATCAGTCTGCACACAGCGGCCTTACTAATGTGCTCTGCATCTCTGATGTTTTAAAGAAAACTATCATTTAAAATGCTACCGCTCAAATAAATATGCATGTGAATATGGCAAAAAAAAAAGGAAAAAAAAGCTCCCTATATGAATTTATGCAGCCTCCTCGTCAACGGGATCCTGCATAAGAGGAGATGCCATTTTTGTCACTTTGACTGTGTCTGCATGATGAAAATATGCGCAATGAATGAATATATGCACTGCAAAAAATGCTTTTTCTTACTTAGAATTTTTGTCTTCTTGTTTACAGTCAAAATATATAAATATTCTTAAATCAATATGCATTTTCTACATAAAAAGGTATTTAGTCTTGTTTCCATGGGGGGGGAAATCATTTAAGTGCATTTTTCTTATTTTGCTAATTATCTGCCAGTGGGGTAAGAAATTAAAGATATGCTTGTTTCCGTTTGCATTAAGATTATTGTTCTTGCCCTATGGCGGACAATTTTACACGTTTTACATAAAATGCACTTAAATGCACTTGTTTCCCCCAGGAAACAAGGCTAAATATCATTTGTCATCTATAGAAATTGCATCTTAACGTAATAATTTTTTTATATTTGTGCTTGAAATAAGACAAAAATACACAGTAAGAAAATCATTTTTGCAGCGTGAATGAATGAATGAGGTATTTAAATATCTCTTACGCTTTAAAAAGGGGGAGGAGACCGTAAGAAACTGGGTTTACCGAAGAAAACCTGATCCCGACCAGGTTAGGTTCATAGAGTAGGTTACTGACTGACTCTGAGTACAAGTTAGGCCTACCTCTTTTTCAGAGACGGGCTTGACTTAGCTGCTTTCTCGGGTTTGACAAACCTCCCATTCTGAAACGGAAAACCCAGAGTTTTCCTCATTTCAGGGTTAACAATAGGCGTAGCTTGACGTTTGAGTTTGGGGGGGCCAAACCGAACCGGTGGATTTGGTCAGACGTACTTTTATTTGGATTTATTAATTTACTTACAATAACAATTTAAAATGTATTCACTTTTACATGTATTATTAACTGCATTATATGCATTTTTACTTCATAGAAAAAACTTTATAAATAAATTTTTAGTAAAATTCTTAAACACAAGCTACGCCCATTAACACCCTCAGGGTGGGTTGCACCAACAAGGATTCAAGTAAAGTTTAGAGCTAATCAAGGATTTGTTGATCTGGGTTTTATTTTAAACGGTGTTGTGTTGCACCACTTAATTTTAAACACAGATTAACAAATCAGGGATTAGAACTCTAACCTGCAATTAAAACCTCCATCTACGATTAATTTTCTCCGCCATGATGGATTTCGCCATTGCAATTAAACAGGAACAATGCTAATATTCCTAATTTTTCTTTGCTTACTACCAAACTCTCTTTCTGACATAAAAAGTTGCTCGTGTCAAAAAAGGAAATAAACTTGTAAAATATCTGCCGTCTTAATAAACTGCTATCGTTATTCAAACGGCTGATCAAGCAAGCAACGAATACATTTCTGGCAGTGCATACGGATTTCATAATCCTGGAAATATATTTATAGTATCAATTAATGGAGTAGCTATGTTTTATGACAGCGCCGCCCCGTCCGTTTGATCGCCGCCAAGCATCCACGCGTGCGTGAGGAACGAGAGGCGTGGCCGCGATCATTGGCGCTCACTTCATCACCGCTGCCGTTAAATGCTATACAGTATATTTCTGTTTTCTCTGTTGTACGCCGAGATGAGTGACGGATTCACATCCCGGACTCGATAGCAGACGCCCAAAAACGTTGATTTAATCTAGATTAAAGCTTAATCCTTGTTGGTGCAACCCAGAGTTTTCACTTAACCTCCTTTCTGAAACGGGCCCCTGTTTTTACTATAATATTTATTTATTTATGAAGACATTTGTGTAAATAAAAAAAAATATATATATAGTGATTTGTGATGATCTCTGACTCATTTTTAAATGTACATTAGTAATGTATGTTGTAGTCGTGTTTTCTCCAGTCATTACGGTCATCTGTGAGCCAACAGTTGCGCTCGGTGTTTGTCGTTTTAAAACGGTAAACTGCTGAATGAGCGGACATTTTTTTTTAAACAACTCTTATTTTGAATATGGAAACCAGCTTATAATTTATTTTTGCAGTGCATTGAAATAAAAAATTAACGAGGCGCTTAGGGAACTACCGACATCAGTTCTTCCTGACAGAATAATGTCCCTGTACTGTGGCGTATTGAACACTGAGTCATCTCGCGTGGACGTCCACAAAGCAGCGCGTCATTTCAACTCTGTTTTGAGGTGATTCCTTCGCAACGGCTGCGCGGCGTTTGTGCGACGGTCATTCAGTGACATATAATGACCATGTCAGTCCCGGAGAGAAACTCTGGATCCGAGGAGAAGGAAGAGGAGAGCGAGGATGAGAGTGAGATCGTGGAGGAGAGTCCCTGCGGCCGCTGGCAGAAGCGAAAAGAGCAGGTACCTGCTGCAGACACGACACTCAGTCAGTCAGTCAGTCACTGAGGAGCAGTTTATCATTAGCCTTGTCTCAAAACCTCCCCAGCTGCTAAAAAAAATCAGCTCACGATCACAAATGTGCATGTTTTGGACGCGATGCCCAGAAATGCTGCCTAGGTAACGTTAGGCAGCTCACTGTGATGCTGATGTAGGCATAGCGCTGTAGGCTATGATGCCATGCTGTCTACTAGTTTGGCAGCACACACTGCTCCCAAAAACTCTGCATAGGTAGTGAGCCCATTATAAGGTTTAAAAATGCTTCTTGTGCACTCACTAAGATCCCCAAGTAGGCAGCTTTCTTTAATGTCCAAAAATGGTACTAGTCTAGGTAGTAAGCTCACTGTGATGCACAAAAAACTGTTTAGACAGTTAGCTTACTATGCTAGCTAGCGCTTTTTGATATGCAGGAAGGCAACTTATCTCAAAATGATGGACTAAAATGCTGGCTATTAAGTGGTCAGCTCTGTATAATGGCCAAAAATGCAGCTTACTTACAGTGGGTACGGAAAGTATTCAGACCCCCTTAAATTTTTCACTCTTTGTTATATTGCAGCCATTTGCTAAAATCATTTACAGCTCCCTATGATGATCCCAAATGCTGTCTAGGTAGGCAGCTCACTGTGTTGCTCAGAAAATGCTGTTTACTGTGTAGGCAACTTGATGCCCTGGTAAGCCGCTTGTTATGGCAGCTGTAAATGCTGTGTGTGTAGGCATGCAGCTCAGTATTTGCTATCCATCTGGCAAGGCTAACATAATTATTTAATAATTTTAGCGTCATTGGTTAGTAATCGTTGGCTTAGATTTTTAGAAAGAAAGTAATGAAATTGTTTGTTAAATTTGTAGAATTGATCTTATATATATATATATAAAATTTTATTTACATTTATTATTTAATTTGTATATTTTTCCATATACACAATAAGTATATTAAATTATGAAATATATCTTAATATTGTATTATTTTAATATATATGTTGCATGATTTAATACGGTTTTAGAAAGAAAATATTTAATTTAAATCACTTTTAATCATATATGATTATAAATAAATTTAATTAAATAT